AATCTTAAAATTAAAACTTCTCTCTAGACTTCCTTATCGACGTTTTCCCAGGTTTGGTACTATTTTAATTGCACGCTTTAAATGACATTTGTATGTAACACATTGGATCTAGAATTGATCGATATATCGTACCCCTCCTTATGAATATTTGAATAATTGATACAAATGTCACCAATTCCAGCTCCGCATCCTTCCCCACCCTGTGTCCATGAAAGGCAACAAAGGTTTTTAGCTGCTCCCTTAACCATAGTCGTTTCTGAATGATTTGTAAGTGTGAGTTCAGTTTTTGGACCTCCATGAAAAACTCTTTGCCTTTTTACTGCAAGGCTCTGAGAAGGGAATTGCGAGGAATATGCCATTTGCATTTCCTTCCAAATTCATACGCTTTGGCAGCTTAAAGCTTATTCATTCTCCGGGATGTCTTTTAACCCTTGACAAGCATATCGATAACTTCTACACTAGATACATTATGTACCTACATAAATGCAAATGTTACTGTGAAGGAACGAGTGGATTGTGACAGCTTGCAAGAGGAACATTTTTAGTGCCCACAAATTACCTAAAAGCATGTTAGGACATATATTGGACACCACATTAATGGGATAGGAATATTTCTACCGGATCACTAATTGATTTTGGTGTCAACCTTAGCTCTTATCGATAACTGACATTAACGTAAGCAGGAGCTAACTTTATCCCAGTGACAGGATGTCATGCTCCCTAAGAGCAGGATGTCGTGATGCGATCAAAAAATATAAAGTGCTTTTATTCTTCAAAAAATATTAAATATGTAATTTCAATATATATAGCAATTACTCCTGTTGACCAGCAAGCGCACAGATGGTCTTCATGTGTACCTGGAACAATCAATGTGGTCGGTCGGGCGACCCAATCAGTGGGGAAGGAAATCATTTTCGGTTATTTGATTACAGAGGGTTGAGCGTCCGAGGGGGCTGGACAAAATTCTACTATGCCCTGCAAGCAATCGTTCGTAATCTTGGAACTCCTTTTAGTCTGATATTTACAAGCAAAAACGTTTTATATGAATAGATTTTGTACTTCACTAAGTAGTTTTTGATTTACATAAACCTTCGAGATTTTACAACGTGTATAGACATAACAATACTATCTTATCAGACTTAAATTTTCAACACATGATGTTAACTGTCCCAATTAACCCATTCGAAACAAATGATATATGTTAATAACAAAGTTAGAGAAAGCGAAGGTAAAAGGATTGTACATATTATTGATAAGATAAAACTGGATATATTAGACCGGTTTATGTCCAACAAACCTTTTGAAATTTATTTAAAAAAGGGAATTTGCAAATCAGCATCAGCAAAAGATAAAGGTGAATACATAGGTAAATAACAGTCTTAGATTATATATAAAATCATATTGTGCGCTTGTTGTTATTCCAGCCTATCTTGTTTTATTACCGAAACTTTCTGCATTTTCTCAAGAAAATGACTTCACAGTAGTACTGGAATTTACAGTCGATAATGATAAGTTTGAAAGAAATGAAGCTAGTTGTGAACTCAGAAGGAGAGGCGGGTACTGTTTTAATTAGGCTATATCACTACAATAAACCAAGCATGTGCATTGTTTTCAGCTCAGGGCAACTATGAACGAGAAAGTGTTATCAAATTTAGCAAAATATATTTAACTGAGTGAATGTGTGTGCGTGTGTATAGGAAAGGTAGCTTAGTGATGTATTGTTTTATCTTTTATATATATACATGTATATATTGATTTTGAACCGACGAGCCGTAAGTTGCAAGGTAATAAAGAGTTGAACTAAACTGCTTGTTCTGGCAATACAGTTTAATAGTAGTACCTATTAAACTAACTTGAACATCATATCCAAACTTTATCAAAGACATAACAGTTTTGTTGATTAAATTACTAACCACGTGTTCACTCCAATCAATGAGAAATAGTAACTGATCAAATTTTGTGCTGATTATTTAGCGACAGAAACGATTGTATTCGCTGGAGGCGTAAGTGAAGCTAACACAGTTCAACAACAAATGCAATCGGCAATCATGACTTCGAAAAACATATTCCAAAAGGAATCATGTATTAGTTACACCTCTGTTTTAGGCCACATCTACTTAAAATATGTGTATCAAATAACATTTGAAAGGCTGCTGTTTTAAAGCAACATTTTTTCAATATGGAACAAATGCTTACGTTATGAAATCAATATCTTTGATATAACTAAGATACTGGAATGAATAACTTGAATCAAACAGCCTTCCATTTATATGGCTTTCGATACATATTGGTATAATAATGTACCAGTATTTAAAAAATATTAAAGACTATCCTGTAAGTTGGTCAGGGGGCGCAGTGAATAACACAATCTCCTATCCACTAAGTTGGCCGGGGTTCGATTCCCCGATCGGACATGGACAGGTATGGGGTCACCTGTTCGACCATGTGTGCTTCCTCTGAGTAACGTAGTTTCCTCCAGCAATATGAACCCCGCGCGCTGACGTTCGGGCAAACAACAGTGATTTGTTTAAGTTGGTTGAACTCGTTACATTGTTGTAATTTTAATAAAGTTGATATAATCTAATATGCTGTTTTATGTCATATTTATACAACAAGACACTATGAATGTCAACCAATGAAGACTATTTCTACATATAAATTGAACTTGAGCAATATACTAGCCTAAACTCAAAATAAAAAAAAGCGATGCACTGTGTCTAAATACTGACGAAACGCAGTTTTGCTAACAAATTCAAGCACGCTGCTTATTGGCTCTGCCTTTTATAATTTGTTAACCTATAGTTATTCGCAACATTACTTATACATGTAACATTGCAACAAATGTTTGTATTAGTTGTTTGTTTATAATCTAACATTTTCAACGAGGGCGATTTGTTAGGTGTATTAAAATTCCTAATCATAGATCTCAAATCGACAGCAAGGGTGATGTTGTACCAAATGCTATAAACTCTGTGCTAATTCAACACATAATTAAATGACGTTAGGTTGGTTGGTTGTACCGGTTTCAACGTTTAACAACAACAGCTAAGGTCATTTTTGGTCTTGCCTCCACATGTGGTGTGTATGTTTGTCAGAGATGGGGTTTGTTGGTGTTGTTGCCTCCTTGTTATAGCGCGGATCTGATGCCGACTTTATATTGCTATCTCACTGAAATACAATGCCGAAGGTACGCAACACGTCTGGTCACATCATACTGACAATGGCTGTTGCCATTACCTTAAATGCTTAACGTTAAGCAGGAAATAACAACTTTCAATTTTAAGGACTGCTTGGTATGTCCCAGAACACATTGCTTTCCTAACTGGGTTGTCTTGTATACACTGATTTCACAGTATCATTTATACAGTGAAACAATTGAGCTACCGTAATATGATAAATAACTTTTTTCCAGAGAAGAGGTTTTGTATTTGTCAGAAAAAGGCAATAGACAACAGAAGACCAGTCATCTTTCATCTATATAACGATTTTCTTTCAGGGACGACACATGTCGTAGCATTTCATAAATCAATGTCATCACTTTAAAAAACACGATTCTTTAGTAGCGTTGAAACAGAAATGGTCTTGCACTTTAACAAGCTCTTATGAATACGCAGAAATGATTATCCTTGAGCACCAACGACTGACAATTTATTTATTTCCCGGAAGTCCTAGCTGTTCCATTAACTTGATATGCGCTGTCATATGTCAATGGAAACTCAGCGGTTCGGGCCCATTCTCGTCGTACGTGTCTGACAAGATATCTCACTACAGGCCGTTTGGCTTCTCGATGAGTATTCAACGTAACACGCCTTTTCATGATTGAAAGCATTATCGCCCTACGTGAGAGTATCCTTCTACAGCTGTCTGCGCAGGAATTGACCCCGCAGGTTCGTTATAAAGAATTGTCTGCTAAATGGATTTCATGGACAGCTTCAAGACTAAGACGCGTGGACATGTTTGTGTCCCACTTACAGTGATTGAGGCTCAATGTGGGTAAAACGAAATAGTTCATCCAACGATTGGAATAATTCATTTTGCATATACGTCTCAATATATCAGTAAAGAGAATCCATTAGTGCTATCAGAACTACGCCATTTGCCTAATTGTGCGTTTTGTATACGTCCCATATACTATGGAGAACGGATTTGTTTTATAAGGGCGACAGACATTTGCCTAATTGTGTGCTTTGCGGAAAAAAACGTATAATCCCTGAAAGTAATGGTGTACGCCTGTCAGGCTTAACGAACTTTAAACATTAGCTGGTCAAGTCATTTGTTAACTAAAAACGTAAAATACAATGATTTAAAAATCCCGAAATGTCAAGTTCACTGTAACGTTATCATATTGAAATCTATGATATATTTCAAGGAGAGGTAATACATTTTGGAATTATTATAAAGCTTTGCGCATGAACTTCAAGTTCTCCAGTGTACATTTCCTGACAGCCTCGTGTGTTATTAGACATTTGTTGTAATAAAACTAATGGATACAACAGGAGAGGACACATCGTAGTGATATTGATTCTTCTAAATAAAAATATAGAGGATCTTAATTAATTCCCATAACATGTGGTATTTATTACTCGCTAAAGAGGAATTTGGACAGGGTTAACATTGATTTTATGATATACCTAGCCATGTGAAACTGAAATTTGCTATGCAATTGTGGCATCTCTATAAATATGTACGGGACATCATGATGCGTGATATTATGTATATCTTTAATTTATGCGATAATGGTAAATTATTCCATTGCAGCGTGAAAAAATAACAGTTTACAGATATTATAATGCATATACACCCCGATATTGAAATCACAAACACATAATTGTACATGTATAATAACACATGGTAAACACGAATGCACAACTGATCCGATATATAATTAACTGTCAAACAAACCGGACTTATTCACCTAGGAATCTGTTTCATTGTATACATTGTTGAATTAACCTTTGGACTGCCATAAACTAGATATGTCACTTCCTGTTCCTACATACCTGACTCCGTCTGCCGCTGGAGTGCGCACTTGTAAAAAGGATGACTGCCATCTCCACATTTTTTCGCCTTAAACTGATAGGCCTTGAAGTATTTGCCACATGCAGGATTGACGCCGTTTTCACATTCGTAGCAACGGATGCTGGACACTGCGAACATATAAAAACATAGCAAGAAATATATTACACCATTGCCAGACTGTGGACATAGATAAACGTAACTTACACAGGCGATTGTACATTAAAAGTTTGTAATATATACTATATGCCAAAACCTGAATTATACTGCATCATACAGTAGGTCTTCTAGGACCTTTGCCGTATTGTAGCATGCATTGTTTATTCTACTTTTCATTTTTGTTTACTGCTATGACACAGCAAAGGAAACTTGTGAATAAGAAAACCCTTAAAGATCTGAGGATTAATGAAGTACAATTCTAAAGAAGATTTTACTTTAAAACTGCAATTTCGTTGAGCCAGTTTTGGAATATTTGTAAAAAAAACGGAGTCAAATGCAAGAATGTTGAAAGTCGCATGTGCAAAAAAATAAAAGTAATGCCATTAATTCAAACCTGATTTAGTGTTACACTGGCCTATTTGTAGCCTAACGACGCTATTAAGATTTGATACAAAGGCTCAGTCGCAATTACGTCGTTCAGCGTTCCTGTTAAGGCGTCATTCTAACTGCAACCTTGTGTCAAATAGTCCATAAATTTAGACATCAGCTCATCCTTCTCCGTACATGATTCGATTAGTTTATCAGTTAAAGGATTTTTTTTTCTGTATGTTTCTTTTAGTGTATTTTTTACATATTTCGTTACATAATTCATTCATGAATATTTTGTTTTTAATTATTTTAATTATCGAGTACTGGTAAAACAAGACACAAAAGGTGGGATTACTTTTTAAGTACATATTTTAACGGCATTTTTATTTTAGCGCTTTTGAGCTTTACATATTGCGCTAAATGATGACTGCACCAATGTGAGTCTCTATATCATGTTTTCTACTGCATAATTTATGGCGCGCCAATTTATCCATACACTATAAAACTCGATAAAGCACTAACACTTGAGTGCGCCAATTTATCCATACACTGTAAAACTCGATAAAGCACTAACACTCGAGTGCGCCAATTTATCCATACACTGTAAAACTCGATAAAGCACGAACACTTGAGTGCACTGAACTGAGTAGGTTCACATTCCATGTTTGCGTATCATATATATTAACACATTTCCACGGTTACGCATTTATATGTCACCTTACTAGAGATACACATGCCAAAACCATAATCCACAAAGGTCAATAGATGATATCGCGACCAGTGGAACTCTTCAAATAGGAGGGGATTAAACTGTACTCGCTGGGGCAACGGACAACATGGCAGCGCCAAAACATTCAGATACGAATTTCCACGAACTTCCATGTAATGAATTGGGTAATATTTTAAAGTCAAAAGGTATCACATACTCCAAAATAAGAAAATTGGGGAGCTAGTACACCTATGATAGCAAGCAGACATGTTAAATTGGCCAGATATTGAAAAAGAGGACGAAGCTAAAGCGTCACAGCTGTGACGGACCGTCAGCGGCGTACAGGGTATCGTGTGTTACCTTTATGTTAATGAAACGTGAGAATGGTTGTTTTTGACAAACACTTTGATTGGAATGTCATCACTAAATGCATTTGATATGACCTCTATTCTTGTGAGTTGTTTTTGTTGGTTCAATACAGTGAAGGTGGGGCATATTGTTAACACATGGCAGATTGTTTTGCCCCCGTATCCTCGCATTCTCTCGCGAGATTGTGTATTTTCCAGCAAGAACTCTTCGAAGGGGAGTAACTCGTGGATGGTCGCGATAACACCTATTGCTTACAAACTACAAACGAGTACAGTTTAAGTGCACGTTTCCGTGTCAACACTGTTAATGAATGTTATGGTGTGTATTAATATAATTAGATCAACATCAACATGTAATGATCTGTCTTTGACACCGGCACGTGCTCAATCCCGTTGTTACGATTTCACAAAAAAACATTTAAACCAGTGCTCTCACATACCACCATTCGTGCCACTAGACCTGTTACAGAACTTTCAAAATTAGTTGTTCTATTAATTATAGTGTCTCTGAACTGTCGGTCGGTTGAAAATAAGTCATGACCTAGCAACGGCTTCATAACATCAGAAGATACTAAAAGTACAAAAAGAGACTTGGTAAGGAACACGAAATGATGATCACGTACTATGGGTTAGCTGATGCATGATCAGTCACCTATGCAAGCTACTCTATCAACGATATAGACAATGTATTTTGTGAAAAGAAGACAAAATTGATTACATAATTGATTTAAATAGGAACCTGTATGCTCTCACCGAAACTATTATCAGACAAATAAAGAAAAACATATTGTTAAAACTGAATGCCCCACTGAAATCATTCTTGACCTGGTTAGGCCTAAATTAAATGAAATAAAGTCGGGCATTTTCGTGGGTTTGCATTTGAAATTTACTTTTGTATCAGATGCAATACACTTTTTTAATATTTGATACAAATCTGTCCTACTTTATATTACATTGATGAATATCTCTTTGTCGACTTTATAATGAAATCTCTTGTAGAGTGGCAAATGTTTGAATTTAAGGTAATTGCATTATCTTTGACAATATCAATTCCGTTACCATGGACTTTTTATTTGATGTGAATGGGTCTTCCTGAATGTAACAGATGCCCGACCTATCATCAGTATACTCTTGTACAGATACAACTAGTAGGTTAAACAATATCCTCGACTGTGCTGGACTTGGAAGATTTAATGAGGGAAAGATGTCTTGTCCGAGAAAAAAAGAAACTTTACATTTTGCAACAATTATGAAACACGTTATTTCCAGCTTCTAACAATTCTTCTTTCGAGTACGGATTAAAACGTGCTGGGGGTAAGAAAACGAGAGGAAACCGGAGTACCCAGTGCAAACCCTCGTTGAACAAATGATCAAATGCCTTATCATGGCCGATCCTGGAGCGTAACCGTCTTAACGTCATCCGGCCGATTTTGTAAGAAAGTGTAACCTGTCTGAGTTTCGACCAAGATTATGTGTATACAAATTTCAAGCACATTGATTATTCTATCAGCGCTGGTGATATGCATTTCTGATTGGGTGTCCTGGACAGTCTTCCGGAATAAATTCCGGAAAAAGATCAATGTTTCTTAATAGGTGGTCAACCTATTTAGATCAGTTAGTTATAGAATAACAAGAAATAGTTTTTACTTTTGATCTCAATTTCCAACAGAGGAGCTTACCGACAATTGGAGCTCGTCTGTTCTCTGGGCTACTCGATTCCCGGGGTCTCACACCCAAGGCACTACGTTTGATGTGATAATCACAAGGAAAAGTGGGTCTGTCATTCACAAAGCAATTTCGCTGTTAGGCCCATCTTTAAGGTGTGAAGGAAAAAAACCACTTTACATCCATGCACGCCGTGGTTCACACTCTTGCTTTTGATATTGGGCAGTTTATTTCGAAATACACCAGGAGTCACAGTCTTCATTACATTTTGTCACCTAATAACACAGATCTTCATTCTACGGTGAATAAGCTTTTTTATTTTTATTTTGCATCTGTTCACGATTTTGAAATGAGAATCATATAGTTTTAGCATGACCTCCAATAAAACATACATTGAGGCTAAGATCTTGATTATGTTCAGAAGCTTAGATGCTTAGAAGTCATTTGGAAGATAGCGTATTCAGTTGACTTTTTGTAAATGGACAAATATATAAGGTAGTAGTAAATTGATAATAAACAGTTTATCGCGCAACGTTTTAAGGTTTTGTCTTTCGATCAATTTTCTCATCGTTTGCACGTAGACAAAATTTCGGTTCAACCTGCGTTGGCCTCTTGTATTTATCCCCGTGATCCCGGTGAGAAAATTATTCTCCAGACAAACCATTACAATACAGCGTGATAATCTATAACTATCACAGTTATATGCTAGTGATGTGTCAAACTGTGACCTGTGATGACAACATAACAGGACTAAACGAACCAGAACAAATACCACAATGGTAATTGTAACATGCAATAATAGTCCCGTGTGTATTTGCCACACAGGGATAACATACCAAGGTTTACATTCACATGTACGAATCCATATTTTTTATTTTTTTTTAAAGTTCTGTTTTACACCGTACCTAAGTTATGATAAACTATTAATCGTCCTTGGTGATAATTTCAGTTTATTCCAGAGGAAGAAATTAACAGACTTGGATTTTCTCTCAGGATGTGAGGGACTACGGTTGAACGTTGCTAATTTTTCGCTTCTTATCAATTACTCAAATAAATGATCTAAAACAAGATACTATAAATATGTTTGAAAGCAAACATTTCCACGATCGTATCTTTACGTCATTGTTGTAATCATAACGTTTTTTGTCTGCAATTGTTTTGCTCGAATTTCTTTTAGCATATTCAATCAAAATACGGCATGCCCCAAACATTTTGATTACAGAAATATTATACATTTCAGGAATACAATGTAATTACAACTGTAGTCATAAATGACACACCTTGTTGGACAGATAAACAAATTAAATGAGGCGAGGTCATTTTGGAACCATCACAATTAAATATCGGGCCACTGATCCAAACATTTAATCATTGTCGCATTTAATCCATACATAATGCAGAAGGTCGAGTGAAGGTTTTACTCGGTCCAATAGCCCAATTATATAATGTACAATTCTTCCACCTGGATATAACGTAACCAAAGTTAAAAGGTGCTTTCAAACCACAGAATCGTATGAGCAACCCTATCCTACTTATGTAAATGTCTACCGTAGAAAACTAGCATAGTTTGATCAGACCCTTGGTATATATACCATGTATCATTTTACCAATTACTTTTGCAATACTGATATCACATTTGAGACATAAGAAAAACAGAAATGTTATCCCGTTTTTCATAAATAAACTGCTGAGGGCTTAATCCGTCGGTAGCGCTGCAGTCGCTTCCAAGTTCAGGGGAACTTCAAGAGAAATAATGATGACCGTACAGCTTAATCTCACGATGCAAATGTGTTTAAAGTATATATCGGTCAACTTTCTCGCTAGAATCACATACAATCGGAACGTCCGCGGACATTGATAA